TATAATTTATTAACTCGATGTCAATGTAATTAATTGACGTATTTAATTTTTTAATCGTGATTACTAATTAAGAAATTATCGCGTTTTTTTATCAGCTTTTTAAAAAACTAATTCTTGTGATTAATATTTTTTAAACAACAACGCAGCTAATTTTAATTAACAAAAAAAAAGAGGTACAAATCGTGATTACAGTTCTACAACTATAATCTAGTACATTTTATTTAAAACAAAAAAAAAAACAACTACACATCGTTTTGTAAGATGTCCTTAGGAATAACCATTTGTTGTAAACCTAGTTGCCTAAGTTTTCGTTGTTACCAAATTTATTCCATATATGTTCGACCAAGTCGTTTTTTAGCTGCAAATGAGTCTGTTGATCCTCAATCTCTGTTCTACGAGACAAGTATAAGCCGATATCCACAATACGATCAGTACGGTACTCGGTAGTGTCCTCATTAGCGTTGCCTCCAGCATTCATAAACTCATTGGTATTAACGTTATTTTGATACGTCTCTCGTTCATCTTCAACGATCATATTATGTATTATGATGCAGGCGAGCATGATATTGTGGAGTATGTCGGTATCCCACGCCAAAGACGGCTTTTTAATAATGGCAAAACGAGCTTGAAGGACCCCAAATGCGCGTTCAACGTCTTTCCTTGCAGCTTCCTGGTGTTTTGCGAATAAACGATCCTGACGAGTTTGTGGACTCGTAATGGATTTCACAAAAGAAGCCCATCTAGGGTAGATTCCATCAGTAAGATAATACCCATTCGTATAATGATGACCATTGACTACGAAGTTCACAGGAGGTGTTCGACCCTCTAAGACGTCTTCGAACACAGGGGATCGATGAAGCACATTAATATCGTTGCAGCTACCTGGCATCCCAAAGAACGAATGCCATATCCATAGATCTCTGTCCGCAACTGCCTCCAGTACGAGAGTTGCAACTCCTTCTCTTCCTTGATACTGCCCCTTCCATGCGTGTGGACAGTTCTTCCACTCCCAGTGCATACAATCAATGCTGCCTATCATGCCAGGAAATCCACGTTCTTCCCCAATACGTAGCAATCTTTCCATATCTGCGATGTTTGGACGGCGTAGGTACTGATCACCGAACAGGTTGATGACACCTTCTGTAAACTTTTGGAGTGCCAATCGTGAAGTTGCCTCACTTATACGGACATACTCATCACAAGCGTCTGAAGCACACCCGTAAGCTAGTTGTCTAACGGCCGCAGTGCACTTTTGAAGTGGAGACAAACCAAGACGACCTGCCGCATCTCGCCTTTGTTGAAACCAGGGGTCATGTTGGGTCACTGCGTTGAGAAGGCGCTCAAACACATGTTTACGCATTCGAAACCGGCGCCGGAACAAGGAACTTGGATAAACTTGGACTTCCGCGAAATAGTCATTGTATAACCGTGCATGACCTTCTTCGCGTCCCCTATCCTTTCGGGGCTCAGTAGATTTGCGTCGGCGTTGCTGAGTGGCAGCTTGAATAATTGGTGGAATGTACTCATGCATTACGTGTTGTATCATAAGACACACTTCATTACGTTGTTGAACTCTAAGCTCCCTTCCCTCATCATCCGAGTTAGATGAAGATGAAGAGGAATCGGTTGAGCTTAAGTTGAAACTGTTTGAATTCATTTTGTACGTAAGAAATGTAAGATAGAGTGAGGTTTGCTAATAGTAACTGCAAACGATTTATGTGTTTGTGTGTAAAAAAAAATGAAAGAATGGTGTTTATTTATAGTGAACTAATTTGTAATTCTTCTTCAGAAATAACTGAATATAAAGAGACAAAGATCACATGGGCTATGACAAACAATGAATTACAACCACACAGAAATTGAATGAGAAGAAGGGTTTCACATGGGCTATGACCAACACTGGATTAGAACCACACAGAAATTGAATGGAGAAGAAGGGTTTCACATGGGCTAACAAAGGGGAAATTAAGATACTGACACAATTATATATAAAGAGACAAATTGATATAATTGAATAAACAGAATAAGATCAATTTGTCTCTTTATAGCCCATGTGATCTTATTCACCCAAATTTTTCACAAACACCCACAAATATTCCCCATAATTTTTCTGGAGTGTATCCTCAAATACCCCAGTCAAGTTGCCCATATAATCCACCAAATTTCCCTCAAAATTTTAATTTTTCTCAAAGCAGTTCAAATTTCCCACGTTCATCCATGATACCAATGGGTTACGGTGAATATGGTGCTGCATCTGGATATTTTCCGTCACAAAAATCGAATCCCAATATTTGGGTATCGAGCAATGTCTTATCTGAAGAAGATGAGGCAAATGAAGAATGAGAGGATGATGGTGAGGGTAATGAAACTCCTTCCCCCCATCAAAACTTCACTCAAATGTTACAACAACCACTCCAATCAACTCCGGAATTTCGTGTTGGTTGTTCAAACAATAGAAGTTGGTGGCGATCAGAAACTACGGCTCTTATATCCGCCTACATGAACACCAGCACCAACATAATTATCGGCACAAATCAAAAGAAGGGTCAATTTTGGAACAGAGTCTTGGACGCATACGATGCTGCCAGGGAATCGAATCCAGTTGAAATATCCCTACGAACTATTAGTAGTTTGAAGGGAAGGTGGATGCGAATCTCTGAAGCCGTGTTAAAGTGGTGCGGAAGCTATGATAAGGCCCGGAAGCGAAAGGGAAGTGGCTATAACGAAGATGATGTTATCCAAGAGGCCCACTCTATCTTACAGAAAGTAAACCGAGAACAATGGGAAGACGAAATGATAGTAATACTTCAGAACAAAATTAAAAGTTTCACTAATGATGCTTAGGAATTGTAATCTTCATTTTCAGTAGTGATAAGTTTTCAATTCCAGTTCAACCTCTTGTACGCATTTCCAATTATTTGTACTTTATCAATTAATCAGTAAAATGGATCTTTTCCACTATCCCATTTTCATAGCCCATGTGATCTTTGTCTCTTTATTCAATTATATCAATTTGTCTCTTTATATATAATTGTGTCAGTATCTTAATTTCCCCTTTGTTAGCCCATGTGAAACCCTTCTTCTCCATTCAATTTCTGTGTGGTTGTAATTCATTGTTTGTCATAGCCCATGTGATCTTTGTCTCTTTATATTCAGTTATTTCTGAAGAAGAATTACAAATTAGTTCACTATAAATAAACACCATTCTTTCATTTATTTTACACACAAACACATAAATCGTTTGCAGTTACTATTAGCAAACCTCACTCTATCTTACATTTCTTACGTACAAAATGAATTCAAACAGTTTCAACTTAAGCTCAACCGATTCCTCTTCATCTTCATCTAACTCGGATGATGAGGGAAGGGAGCTTAGAGTTCAACAACGTAATGAAGTGTGTCTTATGATACAACACGTAATGCATGAGTACATTCCACCAATTATTCAAGCTGCCACTCAGCAACGCCGACGCAAATCTACTGAGCCCCGAAAGGATAGGGGACGCGAAGAAGGTCATGCACGGTTATACAATGACTATTTCGCGGAAGTCCAAGTTTATCCAAGTTCCTTGTTCCGGCGCCGGTTTCGAATGCGTAAACATGTGTTTGAGCGCCTTCTCAACGCAGTGACCCAACATGACCCCTGGTTTCAACAAAGGCGAGATGCGGCAGGTCGTCTTGGTTTGTCTCCACTTCAAAAGTGCACTGCGGCCGTTAGACAACTAGCTTACGGGTGTGCTTCAGACGCTTGTGATGAGTATGTCCGTATAAGTGAGGCAACTTCACGATTGGCACTCCAAAAGTTTACAGAAGGTGTCATCAACCTGTTCGGTGATCAGTACCTACGCCGTCCAAACATCGCAGATATGGAAAGATTGCTACGTATTGGGGAAGAACGTGGATTTCCTGGCATGATAGGCAGCATTGATTGTATGCACTGGGAGTGGAAGAACTGTCCACACGCATGGAAGGGGCAGTATCAAGGAAGAGAAGGAGTTGCAACTCTCGTACTGGAGGCAGTTGCGGACAGAGATCTATGGATATGGCATTCGTTCTTTGGGATGCCAGGTAGCTGCAACGATATTAATGTGCTTCATCGATCCCCTGTGTTCGAAGACGTCTTAGAGGGTCGAACACCTCCTGTGAACTTCGTAGTCAATGGTCATCATTATACGAATGGGTATTATCTTACTGATGGAATCTACCCTAGATGGGCTTCTTTTGTGAAATCCATTACGAGTCCACAAACTCGTCAGGATCGTTTATTCGCAAAACACCAGGAAGCTGCAAGGAAAGACGTTGAACGCGCATTTGGGGTCCTTCAAGCTCGTTTTGCCATTATTAAAAAAGCCGTCTTTGGCGTGGGATACCGACATACTCCACAATATCATGCTCGCCTGCATCATAATACATAATATGATCGTTGAAGATGAACGAGAGACGTATCAAAATAACGTTAATACCAATGAGTTTATGAATGCTGGAGGCAACGCTAATGAGGACACTACCGAGTACCGTACTGATCGTATTGTGGATATCGGCTTATACTTGTCTCGTAGAACAGAGATTGAGGATCAACAGACTCATTTGCAGCTAAAAAACGACTTGGTCGAACATATATGGAATAAATTTGGTAACAACGAAAACTTAGGCAACTAGGTTTACAACAAATGGTTATTCCTAAGGACATCTTACAAAACGATGTGTAGTTGTTTTTTTTTTTGTTTTAAATAAAATGTACTAGATTATAGTTGTAGAACTGTAATCACGATTTGTACCTCTTTTTTTTTGTTAATTAAAATTAGCTGCGTTGTTGTTTAAAAAATATTAATCACAAGAATTAGTTTTTTAAAAAGCTGATAAAAAAACGCGATAATTTCTTAATTAGTAATCACGATTAAAAAATTAAATACGTCAATTAATTACATTGACATCGAGTTAATAAATTATAATTATGAATTAAATAGATTATATTTACAAAAATTAAATAAGGTGGGGTAGGATGTATTGATGATGAACCATTGTTTAGTGTTCATTGTTAAGAGTGAATATTGTAAATGGTTTGTTGGGTTGATGTGGATGAGAGAGAAATGGTGATAGTGACCCATGAACCATTTTTTTTCAATAATAATGATGCTCTAAGGGAGAACTCGGGCTTTCATCCTCTTACTCTCAACTCTGTTTCTGCAATTCCAAATCTCTCTGTTTTCTCCTCCTCCATAAACCCTAATTAATCGAAAGGAGGAGAGAGAAAATTAAATCAAATCATCATTATGAAGATCGTACGTAGAGATTTCGTTCGTGGCGGCCCAGGCAGTGTCAAGGTGATTAATTTTGAGGATTTTGATTGCTAGTGTTGATGAATTTGTGATTGATCAGTTCAATTTTATTTTGCTGTTAAATTTGGTGAAATTTGATTCATGCAATGTCGATTTTTTTTTGGCGAACAGATGATTCCTGAAGAAGCTGATGATATGTGGATTGTTTACAATTTGATTGGTGAAGGTGATTCTGTTTTAGCCGTCACTGTTAGGTAACTTTATCATCTTACACAACTCATTTGGCTTAAAGTTTTTTTTTTTTTTTTTTTTTTCGAATGTGGTATTGTGGTGTGTATGTATCAAAAATTCAAAATTGATATTTCATAATCTGGGAATATCAAATTTATGTTAAAAGATTTAATCATAAATCTTTGTTGGCATATTAGAATTCTTATTTACTTGGGCTGAACATTATTATAATCAATGCTGATTTTCGACCCAGGAAACTATAGCTACATTGCCTACATACTACTTCCTCTGTTCTTTTTTACTTGACTCGCTTTGACTTTTGCACTATTTTCCACCTCTTCTTTGACCGTCTTTTGTGAATGATAGGTAAGGAAAAATATATTCATATGATATCTTTTTTAATTCGTCACTATCGTAATATACAACTTTTATAATTTTTACTTACGAGGAATTAAAGTTATTGATCGCTAAAGTTTTGCATTGGCAAACATGATAAAAGAAACAGGTCAAGTAAAAAAAAACAGAGGAAGTATGCCTTAATATGTATCAAATGTAGGAGTGATACTTATTTTCCCAAAAGATATGCCATTATTAGGTTTAGAAAATTAAACTTTGTACTCTCCTTTGTTGTTTAATATTACCCTTAAATAAGGATTCTAACGAAATACTATTTCTGATTTGGTATAGAAAATGCGTAATTACTGAAGGTAGTTATGATATCTAAACTCAATTTCTTAAACAATGTCGCCTATTGTTTTGGGATAGAGGGGGTATAAACTGTTGTCGAATCAAACATTTGAAGCAGAGTTTGATAACAACGTGGCTTTAACTCCCGCTACAAAGAATGTGTTTGTCAAGCATTGATTTTCCTACTTAAAAAGAGAAAGTAAAAGAGCATCTAGGTGGTGGTTTTATCTAATTTTGACTAGTACTCCCCTTGGTTCCTCAAAGTTTGACTTATCTTAGACTCTTGTTTATATGAAACTTTGAAAAAAGTTAGTGGGCGTTAGAAAAAGTTAAGAGATATGGAGTAAAAGGTGAGTAGGTGTAAATAAAGGGGAATAAAGTAAGAGAGAATGAGTTGAAAGGATTAAATAGTATGGAGAAGAGGGTGAGGTAGTCCTAGGAGTTTGCTTAAAGTGGAACTAAGTAAAAGTGAATTGAACCTGATGAAACACCCCAAATTCCCAAAATGATATCCGAGTCAAACTTTTGGAGTGTTTGGCTTTTTTCCTAATTCCTGATAATTTATTGCCTTGCTCTTAATTTGCTCATATCCTACAGTACTTTGCAAGGGCCTTTGTTGTTATCCCTGCAAAGTTGATTGATTAAGTCTGTGTTCGAAGAAACTACTGAAATAGAGCATTAATAGGGAAGTAGTGTGATGATAATGTAAGCATGATTTCTCATAGTGGTGCTGCTGTTTGCTTTTGCAGGAAAGTTTTGAGAGAGGCTGCTTCTGGAGGGAGGGACGCAGAGCGTGTGAAACTTAGGCTAGAAATCGTAGTGGAGGTGATAATTATTTCATCCACTGACATTTGACATTGTACTTGCTTTGATTTTTTTTTTTTTTTTTTTTTTTTTGGGGGGGGGGGGGGGGAGGGGAGGGGTATTTCTTCCTCTGTGATGATTTTGCTCGGAGTCCTTTTTGTGTTCAATTTCTTGAAATTCTATGTTTATAACTCTAAAGTCTTTGCCTCTTCTTAAGAAAATCCTATGTGTTTTGTAAAAGGGTCTTTGTATTAAGATGATCTAGTGAGAATTACCTATCAAACACAAAAAAAAGATTGAGTCAATGAGGCTTTTGAGCATTTTAATTTAAGAAGTGATTCTTTGACTTACATGCTGGCCTGATTTCTCTTAATATTTGCAGGCTGTGGAATATGAAAAAGAAGGTTCTGTTTTACGTATACGTGGAAAAAACACTCTGGAAAATGATCATGTGAAGGTACCTACAAGAGGACTAATCAACAATGTCTAACTCTTACTTTAATATTTTACTTCTATATATACAGTTCTCTGATTTCTTCTGCTTTTTATTGAAGATAGGTGCTTTTCATACCCTGGAACTTGAGTTGCATCGACCTTTCGTGCTGAGGAAGGTATGCTATGATTTTAATCTGCTCAGAAACGTTTACTCCTTGTTCTTAAAACAGCTTAAGCAGAATCCTCTTTTTTTTTTTTGTTTTTGTTTTGGGGGAGAAGGGGGGGGGGGGATGTGGCATACCTGCCATTTTGAAGGGTTTATAAGTTTTTAAATGCTTGTGTCATGGAAATAATTAGGAGCAGTTCTTACCCACGAAGGAGTTTTAGAAACTAATTAATGAAGTTTAAATTATTTGATTATTTCTATTGACTTATGATCTTTGAAGTTGCGCAAACCGTCGCTCCTCAACATGAATTAAACTTTTGGTGGATAGGAAAGTGTTTATAAAAAGTTGTGTCTGGCGAACGCTGCCACTTAAATTTATTTAATGGCTTCATATATCCTACTTTGGGTGGTGGGTAACTGGGTATTGTAGTGCATCACTTGTTAAGTGGTCTGTTGATCTATATTTGCTTTGGCAGAATGATTTTGAAATCTCAATATGCCTCTCATCTGCGTTTCCCTGTTTATAGGATATCTGGGACTCGTTGGCATTGGATATGCTTCATCAAGCAGCAGGTAAATAATGTTTTGTGCATTATTTTGGATCTTTTTTTGGCCCATTGTTAATAACGAATGCTATTTTCTTCTTGGCACTTCAGACATCGGTGTTTTTACTAGGTTGCATGATATATTGTGCTAGCATAATTTAAGCTGTCTATGCCTAGTTTGCTCCACTTGTGATGATTTGAGATGTAAATGGTTACTTGATTATTCTATCAGCATTTTTTGTTCGTTCATTATTCTGAATTCTGATAACTATCATTGTAAAGTTAGCCACAGAAGCGGCCAGTTATTAGCAGTATCTCCTCTTTAAACTATGTAATTTGCATTCGTATAAGGTATAGCCTTTAATCAAAAGCTATCAGGTAAGGAAGGATTTATAGCTTGAACTATAGTTTTGAACAAAAAGAACAAGAGAAGGAAGGATCCGTGACTGATATAGCTGCTCTTTTTCCCTTATCTGAACCTTTTTCTAGTATCAAAAACAATTTAATTCTGACTTCTTGACATATTGTGATCTAGTTTTATGTATGTACTTTATTCAGATCCTTCTGCAAGTGCTGATTTGGCTGTGATAATAATGCAAGAGGGATTGGCACATTTACTTTTGATTGGTAAAAGGTATAGTTGATTAGTTGTGTTACATAGTTTTCACTTAATCATTGGCTGAATTGTATTTCTTTGCTGCGTCTCTGTCAACCCAATAAAACCACAAATATTTTTGATCTAAGAGATAAGACTATTTTTTATTTTAATTTTTTCTTTTAATTATTGTTAGTTGTTTGTGGATGCTTTCCACTGTATATGATACACATGTCGCTTTTAGATTTTGTTTTTTTTTTTTTTTTTTTTTTTTGTAAGTTTATGATCACCAAGTGATAGGACAAAGCAATTAATCCGCGAATGAATTATTTGGGGCTTTAGCTGCCAGGGAAGAATTCACTTTTTGCTGCATATATCTAGCTGTACTTTAACCCCAATTAACACTCATGAAGCCATGAATATTGACATGTTCTATTCTACCATGGAAAATTTATCTGACTGGCATATTTTTCACTTGTGTTGACAGTGTAACCCTTACTCGATCTCGAATAGAAGTCTCCATTCCTCGAAAACATGGACCTGCTATTGCTGGATATGAATCTGTATGTGTTTCAAATGCTTTTGTTAAGACAAGCTGTCATGCATTGTTGCAGCTGATGAGGTACAGGTACTTAGTTGTAAAGGTGATAACTAACTTGATTTCCCTTGTCTTTCTCCTCACAGGCCTTAAATAAGTTCTTTGAGAATGTACTACAGGTTAGTTGAATGTAAACCTTCTCATGACTAAAACGTGATGACTGTTATCATATATTTTTCAGCTTGTGAATGAAGTGACTTTTTTTTATGCATGTGGTATAGGCTTTCCTCAAATATGTTGATTTTAAGGTTGTCCGATGTGCTGTCATTGCAAGTCCTGGATTCACTAAGGTTAGATTCATTTTATTTGATGTTTGGTACTGCTAAAATATGGTGCTCATACATTGGTTCTTATGAGGAGTCTTGCTGTAGTTTTCTTATACTACTTATCACTTTTGTATTTACTTTTCTCATGTTGTTGGCTCGTTGCCATGAGATAAATAATTATATATAGTTGGCAGCCACAGGCATTCTTTATTTAAATTGATTATAAGGTTCTTGTCTTTTTCTGCAGGACCAATTTTATCGTCATCTGTTGCTAGAAGCTGAAAGGAAACAGCTGAGATCAATTATAGAGAACAAGTCACGCATAGTTCTTGTGCATACAGCTTCGGGATACAAGTATGGCATTTAGTTGTTTAATTTGATTGATTATTTCTGTTTGCTGAGGAAGCAATGTTGCTTCAGAAGTTTTTTTTTTTTTCTTCTTAGCATACCTCTAGCTCTACTGTCAATTGAAATTGATGTATCATCTCATTGGAAAGGTTGGATACATTTAAATGGTTGTTAATCTTGAAGGTTCTGAACCTTTTATCTATTATATATTTCTGCTTTATGTTTAAGCAGTTGATAGTTTATCATCTCAAAATATTATAGCCACTTCTGCTTTTTAAGCATCTTGAGGATTTTTGAGTTTGTACCTGCACAACTTGTGTTAAAATTTTGTTAGCTCTCTTACCCCCCGTGTTTGGTGTTTTTGTGTCTAAGGGCCCTTTAGTCTTTACTCTTGTTTCTTTAAGAAGCATATTTTGTATTTTCTTCAAGAATTGGTTGGAATTATATTTGATATATTTGCTGCTTTCTCTTATAATCAGGCATAGCTTGAGGGAGGTTCTTGATGCGCCAAACGTGATGAATATGATAAAAGATACAAAGGCAGCCCAAGAGGTTACTCACATTTATGTTTATCATTTTGTCTTGCTTGTCATTTTTTCTCGGAGATCCTTGAAGTTTCTACTGACTGTTGTCTATTTTGTTTGATTTAGGTCCGTGCTCTTGAGGACTTTTTCAGTATGCTATCAAATGTCAGTTTCTAATCTTGAGATGTATGTTTGAATTGCTAACAATATGCTTGTTACTGAGATGCATGTCCAGTTAATGTGTGACGTCATCAATGGCTCATCTTAGACATTTAGATCTTGAAACATTTATGCGTTTTGATGTGGACTGTTCTTTAAGCATTTGCTGCTCTTCTTGATACAATCTTTCCTGAAATACTTATGGGTTATTATGTACTGTTCGTTTAGCTGCTCTTCCTGATACAATCTTTCCTGGAAGTAGTTTACCATATCCCCCTACTGGGAAATTAAGGCATTTTAATTATTGATTTTTTGTCGCTCTTTGTAAGTAGAGCACATAAACTATGCTCTCACAGTGGGAGGGCCAAAATGTTCTCTTCCTTTTTTTTTCCTGTTTGAAAGGATGCATTCATATATGGGCTTGACTGTTTTGGTTACAACTAAATAAATTGTGATCTCTTGGGCTAGGAAGAGTTGAGAGAAGAAGGGGAGGAGGGTAAGTGTTTAATGGACCATTTGATAGAAATGTTGACCTCATGTATTGATGAAATTCTTACTATTGCAGCTAAATTTGTATGTAAAGAGGGAATGAGGCCGAAATGTAATCTGATTGTATCATCATCTAGCTTTTGGCATAGTAATTTAAATTTCTTGCATTTGTATATCAGGACCTTGTCTTTTAAAGTAGGCAGCATTTGTAACTATTTATTTTATAGAGGTAGGGCTCTTTGCTTGATCTAATGTTCTTCGCTTTGTATTTCTTGTCAATGGACCTCCTATATATATACATATATTATATATTAATATATTTTTTAAATTTGTTTTATGAACTGCAGGATCCAGATCGTGCATGCTATGGTCCTAAGCATGTAGAAGTTGCCCATGAACGAATGGCTATACAAACGCTGCTTATCACAGATGAACAGTTCAGGTGCCTTGCTTGAGCTTTTTCTGGTAATAAATTTATTTGAGGATCCTGTTGCATTTCTTGGCTTTGATATCTTCATATATATCTATACGCCCCCGAACAATTGCCCCTCCTGAATTTCTTATATCAGACATAAAAGTGATAAAACTGATGTACATTGGATCTTGTCTGTTTGTTCCCATTGATTCTCCTGACGAGATGTTTTGTTTCAAAACCCAATATAAGTTGATCTTAGAAATCAATAGTATTCTAGCAATAGATCTCAATATCAAATGGTTAAAGCTTGTACCTCATGGGCTCTCCTTGCTTCTTCTACAACACTGTCTTGTATGTTAAGATTCAACTCTTCAGTTAGCTGTATGCAATGGAGGCTCTATGTTTCATGTAATCCATATCTTTATATCCTAACAATTTTTATTTATAATTGTGGTAGTATGTTCACTTCCTTGGGCCAATGTTCATGTGATTATTCATTTTACATGTTACTCTGTAGCTGTACAGTTTTTCTTATTATTTTGAAATGGTCATCAGGAATGCTGACATTGCAACACGGAAAAAATATGTCAGCCTGGTCAATTCAGTCAAAGATTCTGGAGGAAGTGTTCATATATTCTCGTCCATGCATGTCTCAGGGGAGCGTAAGTACTTCTGTCCAGTGCTATAAACATTTTGAAGCTACATTTTTTTTTTTTTTTGCAAATTATAGGATTCATATTGTCAGTTTGACTCCATCAAGTCAACTGCGATTGTTAGTTGGATATGGATAGTGTGCTGATTGCATAGGAAACTGGCATCTAAACATATGGAATTAATATATCTTTGGTGTAATTTTGGGATTATGGAAGATGTCCCACACGAAAATTTGAAAACAATGTAGGATGTGTAGATTTCATCCCATACTGTTAATCAAAGGCTTACTTCCATGAGTGGTGAAGTGGAAGATACTTCAATTTTCTTGATTTATTTTTGGCTGAATAAGGATTATAAAAATATTTTCTTTTAAGGAAACTACTTCTGGCTCATATTCCATATACCTCTCTTTTCTTCCAATCGTTACCTTTGGCATGTTCTTGTTCTCCCTACTCTGCCTTGATGAGTCAATTGCACTGATTTATGGAACGCTAAATGATTTGGTGCTTGCTTCTTGAATCATGAATAATTAAGATAGCTGACAAATTGATCTTTTAGATGTTCAAGGAGATATGGTGAAAAAAAAAATTCCAAAAAGAAAAGAAAGTCTGAATGTATAAAGTGACCAAAGAAGGGTCCTTTTTTTTTCACTTTCTATGTCTTTCTATTTATCTGCCTAGCTATCTAATTAAACTATTTATAATGCCCTGTGGATGCAGAATTGGCACAGCTGACTGGCATTGCAGCAATTCTTCGCTTCCCTCTCCCTGATCTCGATGATATTGAAATGTGATCGACGTAGATCTATGGAAAGACCAACTTTGTACACCACTAATTATTACTGAAACATACTGAAAATTGTATATCACAAACTCTGTTAGCGACCCCTTTTCCTTCCAAGACTTAAAGTCTTGGAAGTTGTATGTTATAATTAAGTTATAGTCTAAGTTGCGAAATATGATTCATTTCTTCGTAGTGTGTTGTAATGTCAGGTAATAATTCTACTATTCAGATTCTTTCTTGTAGCATCCCATGTAACACTACATTCTTTGGTTGACTAAAGCTATATTTTATGCTTCATTTATAAGATCTGGTTAATTTTTTGGTTGATCAATGATTAGATATGCAGCATGCCCCTTCATAATCACATTTACAGCAATTCTGATGTAAAAAAACACGACTATATGCATCAATGTTATAATAATTGCAAAGATCAGCACAATCCATTTTGTTTGCATATTTACTTGTTAAATAGTCATTTCCAGAAATAACAAAAGGCTGTGTTGCAGACGTGAAGCTTTCTAAAGCAGTCAATATTGCAAGAGTTGAACTTGTTGAGACAATAAAAGCAGAATATTTTTCCTTAATTTTCAAGTTATTATGACAATTTAAGTTGAAGCGAGGAAGCTGTGTTCATGCATTAGATAAGAAACAACACTGCTTGGAAGAGCTTATTACCAGGTTTGATTACAAATTAACAATCATTTGCAGTGGGATGAGGTTTGGAGGATCTTTCACAAGTAACACAAAAAATGTTATCTTGTATCTGCTTTGGATTTAGCGAATCCAAATAGTATTCTGTGCAACAATCTTGTTGGCTTCATATCCTTGTTTGAAAATCCATTCTTTATAGCAAAGCCATGATATTTAGATCACTGTGTTCACATCTTAGTTCCATTTCCTTTTGGAATTGGTGCGTATTACTATGAAGCACGGGAAAACGTGTCAAAAAATGTGTACTTGACTCAAGGTAGTGGATATAATGGTATGGATATTGGATATAGTAATCTTATACTTATAGAAAAGTGCATTGACAAACGTGTCTAGTCAAAATGATGCATGTACTAAGAAACAGAGAAAGGGATGCATCACTTGTATAAAATGAGTATACATAATTTGTATCAAATAAGTTCATTCTTCTTTGAATATTTTCATGTACAGAGAGATAATGTATTGATATATAATATTTTTGTATAAAATTGATTCAACAACTCTTATAAACATCGAAGGTTTCGTGGTGTAGTTGGTTATCACGTCAGTCTAACACACTGAAGGTCCCCAGTTCGAGCCTGGGCGAAGCCAAATTTTTGTACTCTTATCAGTATATTAAGATGCACTTCATTTTGTAATAAAATAGAAATATATAATAACATCACTACATGTACCCAGTTCGAACCTGGGCGAAGCCATTTTGAAAAACAATTTTTTACTGATGTAGTAGATCTATATTTTAATTTTGTGATATTATTTTATAATTCGATCTATTAAACAAAAAAGGTTTCGTGGTGTAGTTGGTTATCACGTCAGTCTAACACACTGAAGGTCCCCAGTTCGAACCTGGGCGAAGCCATTTTTTATTAATGGCGTCACTTTGAGAAAGAAAACGAAGTTTTTTGCGGCCTTCATCAGTTTGAAGTCTTCAATATACGGTAAATCCCTAATTTTTTTTCTTCTCTTTCTCTTTATTGAATCGATACTTTTGTTTAATTTGTGGAGATAATGTGTAAATTTTGAATTGCTTTCTTAAATTCGAACCCTAATTTTAACTATTGATTTACATTTTACCATATTTGTTTTTTAATTACTTTGTGAATGTGGCGTAGTCTTTTCAAGTTGAAAAATTGATATACTTAACCGCCATATTAGATTATGATTTTTGGTAATTATACAATGATTTTAATTGAAGTTCTTTGGGTTTTATTGAATATGTATTGGATTAAACTGCATTTTAGGGTTGTCAATTGGATTGCTTGTTGAAAATTGTAAGTTAGTCCAATTATTTATTGAAAATTGATATCCAGTTTATGTGAATTTTTGAAGTATTTGAGGGTAGCAAAAGATCCGACCTTAGCTCAGTTGGTAGAGCGGAGGACTGTAGTTGATCAGCAGATTAATCCTTAGGTTGCTGGTTCGATTCCGGCTTTCGGAATTAATACTTGTGTTTAGGATTATTAGCTGGCTATATAAACCTTAATTTTAGCGTAGTCGGATTTGGGTATTGCTAAAAAACATGAGCAGTTGAGCAGACCTTGGTTCTGTTATAATGATATCAATGATATTAAGTCAACCTTTTGCTCGTTTAGTCGTCTTTACTGCTGCAAAATTTAATATCCTTCTCTTTTTGCAAGTTGGTATTGTTTATAGATTACAGAAACAATAATTAGGGACATGACATCAACTTATCTGCTGGAATTATCAACTTCTTAATATAGAATATAGATTAATGTTACCAGATTGACGAAGACATAATAATCTTTGAAAAGTCCAAGTCTTTGTCTGATGAATAGAAAAGCAGGTTACTCCTATTAATGATTGAGATACAGCAAGTATCAATCTCGTGAGTTTGTTTTATACTTGTAACTTAGGGTTCACTTCAACTTAATTTCAGTTCAGTTCAGCTCCTAATTTCCTTATCTCATAAAATATTTATTTCAGCTCAGTTCAGTCGAGCTAAGTTTAGTCTTATGTTTGCGTTGCTGTGCTTAGATTTTTTTCAGCAGCATGTTACAATGTTAGAACGATTGCCCTCTCATTCAGCTTGAGTGAATACAAATGGCTAACAGCTAAGCGTGTTGCAAATGCTGGTTGTGTGGCTTGTTGTAGCTTTTAGTGAAGTCATTGTCCCATATCCCATGGTGGTTATAGCGATTTCTGCATTTGAAGGTCATGGGGTATGTAGTAAAGGGATAATTTGTGAAATTGGATTTTTTTTCGGAATGATGGTAAATAATCAGTCCTTGTTAAAGCCATTTTTAGAATTATAACTTTGGACACCTTCAGCAGCTTAGTTTTGACCCTTTTTTTTTCCTTTCTTATTTAATGCAATACATCACCTTTTCAACAGTTATGTCCATCTGCTAAATTTGACAAGGGACATGAGAAGCTGCCTGCTAAATGATCTGTGGCCCCTTTTCACAACTTTTTATTTTTTATTTTATTTTGGTGTGTGATTGTGGCCAACATTTCTTGATCAATGTTGAATTTTGTGGCTGAAATAGTAGGTCAGTGTTAATTAACTATGGAAAAGCAAATTAGCAAAAGTTAATGTATAGTATAATATATGGGAATTTTCTAAGAAGAAAAGTCTTTTTTCCTGGGATAACTTTGACTATGTAAATTGATTAAATCTTGTTGCTTCTTTTTTTCCCCCACAGTGGACAATATGCTAAATTTACACAACTCCCTGTATTATTCATATGTAGTTGACATGTCATAGGGTCTTCTATGTGACTTAAGTTTATTATAGATTATGTGGATTGTAAAAAGACTTGAAAGTCAAAGAAGCATGGCCTTGATAGACAGTTTAAAGATGCATAGCCTGCCATTAAAATATCCAGTCCACTTGATTATAGAGTATGAGATAGCTTAAGATCAGTCTTATTGTACTGCATATCAGAAAGGCTGAGAAATATTCCTAAAAAAAATGTTATGCCTGTTGTTGCTCCTGCTTCAGCTAGAATCATTCCTATGGCTAGCTGCAGGCGGTAATATTTCTATGCCTAATTGTCCAGATCACTGTGGTAATGTCAAGATTCCATACCCTTTTGGAATTGGGCCCAATTGCTACCATGACAAATGGTACGAGATAATTTGTAATAGTAATAATAATTCTGTTCTTTCTCCAAAACCGTTTTTGCGCCATTTCAATCTTGAGGTGCTGGACATTAATTGGCCTGGAAGGTACTCCCCTCTAGGTAGACAAGTGAATGATCAGGAAGCAGATGATCAAAGACTTATAGTAAATCTCCTCCCTAAAAACTTTTGTGGAAGTAGCACAGCAGTATTTCACGGATTCGCTACTTCAGTAGTCAAAGGCGTCGACTTCAATGGGAGTCCATTCCGTTATTCTAGGTGGTTCAATGTTTTTATGGTGGAGGGTTGTGGCGGAAGTGTTGTTTTGCAAAAAAGGGGTGGAGAAATTATGACTGGCTGTGCTTCAGTTTGTTCGAATGAAGGTGTAAGCATGAACAAAAGTAATTGTTATGGAGTTGGATGTTGCCAAGCCTCTCTCTTGTCATCTCCAACGGGTGACTACCTGAACAGGGAGGAGGGCTTAGATTTTTATCAGATAGCTCTTGATTACACGGGATTTTCTAATTTCAGCACCTGCAATGTGTCAGCAGCCTTGATTGAAAGTTACTCGGTGAAGAAGTTGTCTGGGAAACTATCAAATCTAAAAGCATTCCCTGCGGTTTTAGAATGGACTCCTAAATACATTATGATACCTCGAAAAAAGCCGTATATGAATTATGACAATTTCAGTTGTAATTATGACAATAATAATGCTGTAAGTTGTACATGCGGTTTTCCCTATGAGGGAAATCCCTTTCTGCCGGACGGATGTCAAGGTAAACTCTTACTGTAATTGTTTTTATCTTCAACGTAGCTTGTTATTTGCCTGTATCATTATTTCCTGAAAACTCATTCGATCTTGTTTTTCTCAGTTGTAACAGCATGTCACAAGTGCAGGGATCGTTGTGATATGGCCTTTTCTGATGACAAAGGTTACTACACTAATTATTACTGTAAAAAAAATCATAAGTTAGAGCTGGCTTCCATTCTTGGTAAGTACATCAAAAGCTGCCTGTAATGGCTCAATCTACTCATATTGTTTGCTTCCATGCTGTATTGATAATGTGTAATCACAAACTTGCTCTAAAGCTGATTATTCCATAATCAAGTAGTTTTGTTAATCTTGTCAATTCCCTGAATTACTCAGTTTGTCATAGTTGTGTTAGACTGTTAGTTGTTCATTTGAGTTCTAATGCACTTCCTTATGTATTGCTGACTGGCCAAGTTCAGTTTTGAATAAGATCAAAAATTCAAAAAGTAAAATTGAAGGAAACCTGTAGAAACTAGAAAGTGTAACTGTGGAAATTACTACTTCGTATTTATCATTTGTTGGGATGTTTAGTGTGGAAAGTTGTTGAAAAGTTAGTGATTAATTTTTCATGTTTGGCTTGATGCGAGGAAATCTATTGAAAATGTATAGCTTAACTTGTGTTCCTAATTTTCAATAGCTTTCAGCAACTTTTTATTTTTATTTTTATCATTTCTTAAGGGAAATTAATTGAAAATTAAACTTACCCTAGAGGCTTCCTCATATTTCTTTGATTTAAATTTTTTTTTTTTATCCTTGGTAATTTTAATCTTTTCATAAAATATCCATAGGTTTCTATAGTACAATTTTACTTAGTTTTCCTCGTTAAACACAAATTTCAAAAAGAACACTAGTAACTCTGAAAAGGTTGTTGCACTTTTAATTCTTTTTTGTTTTGTGTTATCATCTTAGTTAGGAATATATGTCCTGGGCTTCTTACAAGGCCTACATATGTCCTGGGTTTCTTACAAGGCCTACATTCTCAATCTCTTCAATCTTACAAATTTGGTGCTTAGTTATTGTGTTTTTACCTCTGATCTACTCATGTACAGAATTGTCTAAACCCCATTATGATTGATGTTATGTACATAATATTGTTTTCAGCGTTTAGCATAGGCTTGGGATTAGTGCTTTTGGTCCTAGGTTGCTACTGGCTCTATAAATTCGTAAAGAAGAGAAAAGAGATGAAACTTAAAGCTAAATACTTCAAGATTAATGGTGGTTTGCTATTGCAACAGCAAATGTCTTCCACTGATGGTGTTGTTGAGAACACTAAAATTTTTGCTGCAACTGAGCTGGAGAAAGCCACTGACGGTTTCAGTGAAAGCAGAATACTTGGCCAAGGAGGCCAAGGTACGGTCTATAAAGGTATGTTACTGGATGGAAGAATTGTGGCCATAAAGAAATCTAAAAAGGTAGATGAGAGCCAATTGGAACAGTTTATTAATGAAGTGGTTATCCTTTCTCAAATCAATCACCGGAATGTGGTAAAATTGATAGGCTGCTGTTTGGAGACTGAGGTTCCTTTGCTTGTCTATGAGTTCGTCTACAATGGAACGCTATATCAGCATTTACATAATGATACTGAAGATTTTCATGTCTCTTGGAAAATGCGCTTGCAAATTGCAGCAGAATCAGCTGGTGCTCTAGCATACCTGCATTCATCTTCATCTGCTCCTATTTATCACAGAGACATCAAATCATCCAATATACTTTTGGATGAAAAATTCAGAGCAAAGGTTTCAGATTTTGGGACTTCAAGAGCTATTACCATTGAGCAAACTCATGTGACTACCTGTGTTCTAGGCACATATGGTTATTTGGACCCAGAGTACTTTCAATCAAATCAGTTTACTGAGAAAAGTGATGTATACAGCTTTGGTGTAGTCCTGGTTGAGCTTATCACTGGTAAGAAACCAATTTGCCCAACCAAAGAGGGAGGATGGATTAGCTTGGCTGTTGAATTTCTTTCCTATATGGAAAGTTCTAGTCTATCTGATATTCTGGACGCTCGAGTTGTAGATGAGGGTAAGGAAGAGGAGTTTGTGGTTGTTGCTAACCTTGCAAGACAGTGCCTAGAAATGAAAGGGAAGCAACGACCTACTATGAAAGAAATTGCAGTTTTACTAGATGGTATCAGGTCACACCACCCCCCTAATTTCAGGGAACCAATTCCACCAGGAAGCAAGCATGTGGTTACAGAAATGGTTAGCACACATAGCGGTCCTTTCAGTGTAGAAATGCTCTCTTCAGATGACGGTCCTTCCAATTCCATGGAAGTCCAACCACTTATGGTCAACATCTGACAATTGTACGGTACTTTCTGAAGACTTCTGCTGTAGTAATTAATTATACAAAATTGTTTACTAAACTGGAAGTTTGTTAGATACTGTGTTTACCTTCTTGTATTGGGAGCTAGCTTCTCAACCACTTATCTAATTGTATAATTATTGTGCTGCTTAAGAAGCAAATAATTTGCTTTACCCCTTCTGTTTGAAGGAAGCTTAATTGTAGTCATGGTTTTGTTATACAAACCGGTTTTATTTCATGAACACCATAGAAGTGAACTTAGCTTATTTTGTCCTGTTGAATGCAACTTCCATATATCTTATCCCTTCACCAGTTCACCGCCTTCTTGATCCGCACATTGCTGGGACCAATGATTTTATGTAACCAGCCATGCTTAAGACAATCATACTAGCAATGACTAAATTAGTGTTGGGTACAATTTTCTATCAACTTTTTTAGATAGCTACCACCAACGCTTGTCTTAATGGAGGTCTTCAGAAGCATCAGTGTCGTGTGTGTATGTTAAGAGGTAGATACTAGAGAGACTTTTCATGTCTGATCCGACCTTGCTGTCATCCTGTTCCTAATGCTCTTGTCTTCTGAGAACAATAATGTTTGAATATTATCTTAATAATGCTCTTAAATTGATTTGGACTGAACACTAGATGGAGTATTTTGCTGTCACTCCTTTGTGAATACCTACACTCGAACATGACGTAATCATTTGGTGAATATGGCTAATATATCTTTGTCCATGTTGAATTTTATGCCATTATGATAGATGTATGTTACAAAGTATTCAATGAAAGTTGATATTTGGGTATAGTACATGGGAATTTCTAAGAAGGCAAGTCTTTTGTGCATGATAAAACTTTAAATAGCACAACATTTTTTTTTTGGACTTTAATATCTTTTCTAAATTTAATTTGTAATTCGTATATATGCATGGAAAAATACACTTCAACTTCTTCTTCTACTTGAACGCCTCAATTCCATTAGTGGGGTTGGCTACATGAACCAACATAAGGATTTCCCAGAAGGTCAACCACCTTATTACTACTCTCAATCATTGTGGTTCATGTCAAGCGATGTGATAAAGTTTACACTGGTTGTCACTGGCTTACCATATCCCTCCTCCTTTATCCAGGCTTGAGATTGATAACCGAAAACCCATTGGTGGAGTTAAAAAAATAAATAAAAAATAATCACACTTCAACTAATGTAATTAATGTTTTATTCATGCTTATATCCCCTTTTAGCTCTTTATAAACAGTCCTTAAATTTTTATGTATAATTTTCCTTTGATTTTAGCTATAAAACACATCACCTTTAATTTTTAACGTCTTTCTATCTTTGATAGGACTTGAGTTTGTTTTATATTTTGTGGATTACCTAGAAGATGGGTCTATGATAGGGACTTTGATATTCGGAAAATAAGACTTGGAAAAGTCCTAGAAGAATGAATGGTCATGAAAGTAAGACTGTTAAGAGATGCATAGCCAGGCAGTTAAATATCCCGTATACTTGCTTAATGATTATAATACGAGATTGCTTAAGTTCAGTTTTATTGTACTTAATTACATTACACTAAGAAAACCTCTTCAAAAAATATAGAATGGTATGCATGTTGTTGTTCCTGCTTCTGCTAGAATCATTCCTATGGCTAGCTGCAGGCGGTAATATGCCTAGTATTTCATTGCCTAACTGTCCAGATCACTGTGGTAATGTCCGAATTCCACACCCTTTTGGAATTGGGCCTAATTGCTGCCGTGACAAAGGGTACGAGATCATTTGTAATGGATCTGCTCATTCTCCAAAACTGTTCTTGCGTCAATACAATGTCGAGGTGCTGGAAATTAATTGGCCTGGAATGTACTCTCGTGTAGACAAAAGATGGGATGGCCTGGTAGCAGACAGACAAAGACTAAAAATTAATGTTCCCCTTAGAAGCTTTTGTGGAACTAACACAGCTGAGGTACATGCAAACGCTACTTCAGTAGTTAAAAGCATTGACTTCCACGGGAGTCCATACCGTTTTTCTAGGTGGTTGAATGTGTTTATGGTGGAGGGTTGTGGCAGAAGTGTTGTTTTGCAGAAAAGGAGCGGAGAAAATTTGACTGGTTGTGCTGCACTTTGTGCCAACGAAGGTGCAAGCATGAACACAAGTAATTGTTATGGAGTTGGATGTTGCCAAGCCTCACTCTTGTCATCAGGTAACTTCGTTGATAAGGGGAAGGGCTTAGATTTTTATCAGATGATTCTTGATCAGACTGGACTATCTAATTTCAGCACCTGCAATGTGTCAGCAGCCTTGATCGAGACTGGCTCGGTGAAGAAGTTGTCCGGAAAACTATTAAATTTGAAAGAATTTCCTGCAGTTTTAGAATGGAAATTTAGTGACATATTTCAACAAGAACAGTGGGTGGGGACAAAAGACAATGTCACTTGTTATTTTGATGAATTTAATGGTGTACTGTGTCATTGTAATTTTCCTTATGAAGGAAATGCCTATCGCCCCTTAGGTTGCCAAGGTAAACGGAAATATCTTACGTTCTATTTGTTTTTATCAATGTACTTTGTAGTTTTTAGTATTATACATGGTAAACTAATTTAATCTTCATTTTTTCCATATCAGTTGTGAAAGAATGTCGTAAGTGCAGAAGTCGTTGTACTTTGGGCTATACAAATCTCCCAGGTCCTTACGCCTATTTTTCCTGTGAAAAAAATGAAACGTTGAAGCTAGCTTTGATTCTTGGTAAGTACATCAAAAGCTTCCAGCAATGGTCCAATGTGCTCAATCTGCTCATAATATTTACTTCAGCATTGTATTGATAATTTTTCATTACAAACTTGTTCCAAGCTGAATAATTTGCCTTTTCCACTGACCTCATCAATTATTTCAAAAATAAATTCTCTGCTTGTCATTGTTGTGCTAGTTGATCATCTGAGATTTAATACACCCCCCTGCATTTTGTTGATCTGCCTGGTTCGTATCTTTGAATAATATGAAGAAAAGAAAAGACTTTTCTGTTCGCATTAGTGGCTGTCGGCCTGTCATCATTGTTGGTGAATGCTGATGATAATTTGTTTTGATAAATTGTTGGCAGAAAGAAGATGTCTGTTCAGGAGTGTATGCCATTTCTTTTCCATGTTATCTATAGATTTCTACAATTTTTCTAAGTTTTCCTTGTTAAAAATAGACTGTAATATTTTACAAGTCATTTCCTGTTTATTACCATCTTAGCCATGAATATTTTCAATCTTACAAATTGAATGCCTATATTGGGATGGAGTGAATGTGAGTTTATTGTGCTTGTTTTCCTTAACCTTCTCTAGATTTGAATTTTATAAATTCTGTATTTGATGTTGTGTACATAATAATGTTTTCAGCATTCAGCATAGGCGTGGGATTAGTTCTTTTGGTCTTAGGTTGCTACTGGCTTTATAAATTCATTAAGAAGAAAAAAGAGATGAAACAGAAAGCTAAATACTTCAAGATAAATGGTGGTTTGTTACTACAACAACAATTGTCTTCCGAAGATGGTGTTGTTGAGAACACTAAAATTTTTGCTATAACTGAGCTGGAGAAAGCCACTGACGGTTTCAATGAAAACAGAATACTTGGCCAAGGAGGTCAAGGTACGGTCTACAAAGGTATGTTACTAGATGGAAGAATTGTGGCCGTAAAGAAATCTAAAAAGGTAGATGAGAGCCAATTGGAACAATTTATTAATGAAGTGGTTATCCTTTCTCAAATCAATCACCGAAATGTGGTCAAATTGATAGGCTGCTGTTTGGAGACTGAGGTCCCTTTGCTTGTCTATGAGTTCATCCATAATGGAACGCTATATCAGCATTTACATAATGCTACCGAAGATTTTCATGTCTCTTGGAAAATGCGCTTGCAAATTGCAGCAGAATCAGCAGGTGCTCTAGCATACCTGCATTCATCTTCATCTGCTCCTATTTATCACAGAGACATCAAATCATCCAATATACTTTTGGATGAAAAATTCAGAGCAAAGGTTTCAGATTTTGGGACTTCAAGAGCTATTACCATTGAGCAAACTCATGTGACTACCTGTGTTCTAGGCACATATGGTTATTTGGACCCAGAGTACTTTCAATCAAATCAGTTTACTGAGAAAAGCGATGTATACAGCTTTGGTGTAGTCCTGGTTGAGCTTATCACTGGCAAGAAACCAATCTGCCCAACCAAAGAGGGAGGATGGATTAGCTTGGCTGTTGAATTTCTTTCCCACATGGAAAGTTCTAGTCTCTCCGAAATTCTGGATGCTCGAGTTGTAGATGAGTGTAAGGAAGAGGAGTTTGTGGCTGTTGCTAACCTAGCAAGACAATGCCTAGAAATGAAAGGGAAGCAACGGCCTACTATGAAAGAAATTTCAGTTTTACTAGATGGTATCAGGTCGCACCACCCCCTTCATTTCAAAGGACCAATTCCGCCAGAAAGCAAGTATGTGGTTACAGAAATGGTTAGCACCCATAGCGGTCCTTTCAGTATAGACATGCTCTCTTCAGATGATGGTCCCTCTACTTCCATGGAAGTCCAACCACTTATTGTCAACATCTGACAGTTTTACGGTACTTTCTGGAGACTTTTTCTGTAGTAATTATACAAAATTGTAGCTTATTACATCTGTGTGTTAAACTGGAAGTTTGTTAGATACTGTGTTTACCTTCTTGTATTAGGAGCTGCCTTCTCGACCACTTGTCTAATTGTATAATAATTGTGCTGCTTCAGAAGCAAATATTTGGCTTTATCCCTTTTGTTGGAAGGAAGCTTAATTGTAATCATGGTTATTTGAATTTCTTATAGAAAACATTTTTAGTTCATGAACACCATAGGAAGTGAACTTGTTTTTTCCGGATTGTAGATCTGCACACTGCTGGGACCAATGATTAAATGCAACCAAACAGATACTAACAATCATACTACTTTTTATTCATGGATGCATCATACGAAGTAATATTTAAAAAGTAACCTGCTGATTCTGAAACTAAATAGAAAAATTGATCATAGACCATTTGCAACATGATAATCTGAAACTAACATAAGCTACTGATGCCCAAATGTTCTGCTAAGTTGCTGATCAATAAGCCTATGGCAGGAGCAATCTTGATCAAATCTTCATAAAATACAACCTAAATTCATTCTGTCACAGCAATTCTGTCCATGATCTTCGAAACTACATCTTTGGACTCCTCCAGAAGTTTAATGCTCTTATTGAGCCTTTCTCTCTTTCCCGCCACAGCTGGAGACTCTTCTAGCATCCTCTCAACGCCTCCTCCGTAAGGTCCCATCACTTCATTCACAACCTCACCCTCCAATTCATTGTTCACTAAATTCTGAATACTAAACAGCAAATGGAGAGCTATGGAATCCACCAACCTCTTCAAAACAATCTTCCAGTATGACATCATTCGCATCTTCATGTCAAAAGCTTGCTCAGCTAGGTGCTTATACTTTTGTAAATGTGCCAAATCAACCTTACCAAGTCCTTCGAATTCCATGCTGGTTACCTTTTTACCTGTATTCACCTGTACAGATTTGCCTTCCACAATATTCATAAACTTATCCTGATGCGACATAAGCCGATTCCAGACAGATAGGTATTGTGAATCACAAGTATAGTCAGCATATGTCTCCATCTGCACAATCTCCTTGACACGAATAATTGACTGATCTTTCTTCCTAGAAATCAGATTAACTGCAGCTCTTCTGCAGGAGCTCTGAAGAGATGGGTAATTGTCAGAATGCTGCATTATAATGGAGAGCGCTGCACTTTCTACATATCCCCAAAATTTAGTCATGAATTCAGCCGGAGTTTGTGATATTTCCTTCACTTCCCTCTGCAATAAAGTGATAAAAGCTGAGTGAGGAAGGAAATTGGGTAGTCCAATTCCCTTAGCTTCCTCAAGAACTTGAATTTCAACCTTTAGGAAATTACCTAATTTAGTTTCATCTTTCTTTTTTGAATGCATAAGCTCTGAAAACCCGCGTAGCATCTCAGCTAAACGAGCTTTGCAATGCATATTCATATCATCAGGGTACTCATCGTACTCTCCTCTAATAAGGATCTTCCTTAGGGATTCTTTCACTGATCCCATAATCTGCATGAATCCTGTCATAGCCTCAGCCACAGACGATAGGTTCTGAGGCAAGTTGTTCAGTTCATCAACATAAGCATTCAACTTAGTATTAATCTGATGCACAATATTGGGCAAGCATTTTGAAATAATGCTAGCCTGAATGTGAACCAACCTCTGAGCAAGCTCCGGGATGCCTACTATCGATTTATCAATCCTTGACAGCAAAGGGTGGGACTCAAACAGTCTTGCCTCTTCCAATCGTGCTTCTTCATATGTTTCTTGCCCAATCCTGTTCCTAACACACACATAGCCTAGCCCAATTATGACATCATCATTGGTTACCTTCTCTAACAAACCTTCTGGAGCTTTATCAACATTGGTTACCTTCTCTAACACACACATAGCCTAGAGTCCTCTGCCCATTTTATCAACATTCTGTGACATCATAATTGACTCACAAGTCGAAAAATCCACTGTTGCAGACAGAACATTCAAAATGATACTCTCTTCAGGGGTAATATACTCCATTATAATATCCCTGATTTTTTCATATATGTTTGCTGGTTGGCCTCGGACTGGCACTCGGGTGATCCCAGGGAGATCAACCATGGTCAAGTCAGGAACTCCTTTTTTCCTGACTATAAGTGTTATTGGAGTACTACATATTCCTTTGGCTTTTCCTGCAATTTCTTGAGTAGCCGAGTTTATTGCTTCAGTGACATGAGCTTCATCTGTTTGCAAGACTTTACCCATGTACTCAAGGGAGAGTTGTGGGGTCAGGTCAGACTGGTGCTGAAGGCGCATGATGAGTGGGACTCGAGTGCAGATACCTTGACCTCTAGGTAGGCTAATACCTGCTAAGGACTCTAAGACACTAGATTTTCCTGATGATTGGTCACCTACAACGACGATTGTAGGTAGTTGGATGCCTTCCTTCATGACTTTGAGTGTTCGCAGCTTGTCGACTGCATCGAGGAGAGGGCGTATTTGATCATTGTATGAGGAGATGAGTGGTGGTGGGACTGGGATATCATGCTCATCAGCATGAGTAGTATCAGTAGGTACAAGGGATTTGTTCATGTCTTTATCATTGAGGTTTGTTTTGGTGGGCTTTCTAGCTGATTTCGGCTTATTTTGTTGTACCATTTTTTGGAAAAATGTCTCAAGGATAATATGTTTCTAGGAAGTGTTGTGGAGGAGATGATGAGGATTATAGCCAGCAAAAAATTAGAAGTATTACTTGGATACTTATAAAAGGGAATAAATTTGACTTAAAAGCAGTGAAACTGAATGGATGGAAGTTGAAGTGATTCATGCAAGGTTAAACCTTTTTAGTTGATCATTATAGTAATGTCAAAGGACTGCCTAGTGAAGTTCCTGTTAATGTATCTAGCCCTATTATATGTTGTGATTAAACCATCGTCTCAATTAATGCTATTGGTTATCAATTGAAACCCTTGGCATTTTGTGAAGGTACGTAAAATACATACTCCTTTTGTCTGTTAAAAATTGTCCTATTACGATGTTGTCTTTCGTAACTCTCTGTTACAAAAATACAAATATTGTTCATCTCAGACTTGCCAATAAATTTTTATCCTTTTTAAAAGATAGTCATCATTTTGAAGTTGCGATTGTTTTGGTGCATTGTACTTCCACACTCCTAAACAAGATAATTGTGTTAAAAACAACACAACAACAAACAAAAATAATACAGTAGTATATAGAATTGTCAATAACATAAGATTTCTTCATTTCACCAAAATATTAATTAAAGCTTTAGGATATATAATATTACCTTGCTTGACCCTCCCTTCAAAAACAATATTACCTTGCTTGACATGTGAAGATAAAATAAAAACTATTTAACTTTTATATAGGTAAATGAAGAAAGCTTCAATCATTATTTTCTTAAATTCAAGTAACTGCATTGGTTTTTCTTAAATCAGTGCCTTTGAGTTTATCTCGATTGTCTTCCATGCTAAATAAGTGATCGCCTTCACGAGGACATTGTAAGTATGACTACACCACATTTAAAGGTGTAAAAAAATTCCATTCCAAAACAAAATAAAATCAAATTGAAATATAGATTTGTATGAACACAATATTTTTTTTTTTTTGGTGAAAATGAACACAATAATTTAATATGTCTGAAATATAAAATAGTTCTGACTTGACTTCACCGAACCCAACCCACACACCCACATTGACACCTCTACTACCCACATTCAATTCTTTTATTTATTTTATTTTATCTCCTATTTTTCGTAACTGGCTCGGCCCCTCGTTAGCACCAAAAAAAACCTTCTGTGTTTTAGTTAGTTAACGCATTTAATTTAGGCACACATATAAAGAAGAGAAGAGAGAATGATAGTGCAAGTCAGATACATTAGTAAATGTAAGGTATAAAATTTATCCAAAAAGAAAATGTGTCAAACAAAAATAAAATTCTTAAAACTAAATACGTGTCTATTAAAAAAAACGGACGTTACACGTAAGTATGATAGAAAAATAATCGGACCGTCAATTTCCCTGATCGGGCCGGACCGTAATCTTGTTATGAACTTTAATGAAATGGGTTGGGCCGTTGCTATTTTTGAATAAAACCTTAGTAATTCTTTTTTTTTTTGAAGAAAAAACCTTAGTAATTCTAAAATGTCCCGAAAATAAAAACGCTGCAATTAAAAAATAAAAATAAAAAATCGCTGAACACTGAAACGAAGGAAGCTGCAATTCACCATTTTTGCTTAACTGAAGTGATGGCGCAGCAAGATAAATTCAGGTTAGTCGTCTTTCAGCTATATTGATTTTTTTTTTTTAATGTTATCCTTTAATTTTGAATTTAATTGTTGACAAAACTTGTTATTTATGATTTAGTAATACTAGTTTTGAACCCTAAATTTTCAATAATCAACTCAATTTCAGAGAATTTTGCATGATCTGAATTAGGGATTTGCTGTACTAAAAAATTTCAATTAAGAAAAATGATGCACTTAATATCTAAAGGGATGCCAATTATCAAGTAACAATGTAACACCGACACAAATTAATTTGTTATTTGGTTTGTTTGATAAGATCCAAATTAATTAAAGCATAATATCCTATTTTAAGAGGGACCAAGTGACCAATGTTTCTTGTTTGAACTTTCAAAGTTTGACTGAAAAAGTAAAATGGAAAGGGAAGCTGAATGATTAAAGAGACGACTTGGAAAAGTCTTTGAAATGTTGAAAAAGACATTTATAATTATTGGAAAACTAATTAAGTTAGTCCATATAAAAAATATCTTCACATATCTAGGACTAAGCAATACTAGTCATATCAAAACAATAGAACCAATTTTATGCAATCAATAATGATATTCCTGGTTCTGCTGCTTCTTATGCTGCAATCATCACTGCAGCTAACTGCATCACCCTCTTCTTCGCAGGACCGTCTGCCTATTGCAAAGCCTGGCTGCCAAGATCATTGCGGTGCGGTCAAGATTCCATATCCATTTGGGATTGGTTTTAAATGTTTTTATAATGAATCCTATGAGATCATTTGCAATACTTCCTTTCATCCCCCGAAACCATTCTTGCCTGTTCACGATCTCCGTTTTGAGGTTATGAAAATAGATTGGGGTGGAAATCCCACCAGTATATCACCATCTGAACATGTGCAAACACTAGTAGTGAAAAACGATTTTCATAATATCTGTAGAAGTGATAATGGTGGTGTTACTGACTCAGCAGTGGTCCAGCGTGTTGACCTTCGCGGCACTCCATTTCTTTTTTCAATACAGTTTAATGTTTTTGTGGCTAAGGGTTGTGGTACCAGCCTTGTATTAAAGAATAGTAGCAATGAAGTCGTGACTGGATGTGCTTCAGTATGTAGAAACAATATTTCTAAGAACATGACTAGCTGGATTGGGGTTGGATGCTGCCAATCTAGGCTGTCATCTACACTAGACAACAGTTACACCATCTATGATGAAATTCAAGGCCTTGATTATTATGAAATAGATATGAATCATGAAGCACTATTAAATCCCCAGACTTGCAATGTGGCTGCGGGTTTACTTTACAAAGATGAAGTGCCTGAGTTCTCAGGGAATTTCTCAAATTTGACAACTGTAATGGAATGGAGTCGTCCATTTACAGCAGAGGGTTCGACATGTGGTGATGATGGCGTTCTCACTTGTCCGTGTGATGATGAACACGGCTATGTAGGGAACCCTTATCTTGGATGTCAATGTAAGTGGCAGCGTTGAACTCTTATATTCTCCACACATTTCTCCTTCTTTTGAAGACAGTCTAATAATTTAGTTCTTTTTTGTCTTAGTGGTGAAAGAATGTCAGATTTGCAAACATGGTTGTATTACCGATATTACAACACGATTGTTAGTTTGTAAGAAGCATCCTTTGTTTAACCTGGCTTCTATTCTTGGTAAGTGCTTCAGAACTTGAAAAAATTGGCCCAAATTGCTTGTGGATTTCTATTTACCTACTTTTAAAATGTTTGAGATAACCCTTATAAATAGTGTTGGATAATTATTTCTGTTTATTTACTTATCTGCCCTCATTAATGTTAATTGTTCTTTTTTTTTCAACTTTTAAAAATATTGTGTATGCATTAATATCCCTAAAAATATTTATTTATATATTTTTTCTTATTAATGCTACCAACAAATATTGTTGTGGAATTGTGTTATAAACCAATCCAAAAGAGTTCTCCGGAAACCATGTCACTTATGATTTTATGAATGCTTAAAATGATTGCTTATTTTTCTTCTATGTTGGAATCTTTAAAATTTTCTAGTCTTACCCGGAAAATTTATGTCATTCTAGCTGAAACTTGACATCTTACTTTGCTTTTGCCTATTTCAACGTTGTCTTAGGATTCAGCGTCAGCATAGGATTAGTGATGTTACTCCTACTTTGCTATTGGCTTTATAGATTGGTAAAGAGGATAAGAGAGGTTAGGCTTAAAGCTAAATTCTTTAAAAGAAATGGTGGTTTACTATTGCAGCAGCAAATCTCCTCAAGAAATGGTATTGTTGATAAAACTAGAATATTTGGGTTTTGTGAGTTAGAGAAAGCGACAAACAATTTTAGTGAAGATAGAATTCTTGGCCAGGGAGGGCAAGGTACAGTCTACAAAGGAATGTTAGAGGACGGAAGAATTGTGGCCATTAAAAAATCTAAGAAGGTAGACAAGAGTCAGTTGGAACAATTTATCAATGAAATGGTTATTCTTTCTCAAGTTAATCACCGGAGTGTGGTTAAAATACTGGGATGTTGTTTAGAAACAGAAGTCCCGTTGCTTGTTTATGAGTTCATTCCGAATGGGACTCTTTACCAGCATATTCATGAACCTAGTGAAGATTTTCATGTTACTTGGAGAATGCGTTTACAAATTGCTTTGGAATCCGCTAATGCTCTATCATACCTTCATTCATCTTCATCTGCTCCAATATATCATAGGGATGTCAAGTCCTCCAATATACTTTTGGATGAAAGATACAGGGCAAAGGTTTCTGACTTTGGAGCTTCAAGGGCCATTACCATTGAGGAAACTCATGTGACCACTTGTGTTCAAGGCACATATGGGTATTTGGACCCAGAGTACTTCCAGTCGAATCAATTTACTGAGAAAAGTGACGTGTATAGCTTTGGAGTAGTCCTTGTTGAGCTCATAACAGGGAAGAAACCGATTTACCCCAACAAATCGGGTGGGTATATAAGCTTGGCCACTGAGTTTCTCTTTCACATGGAAAATTCTTGTCTGTCTGATATGTTAGACACTTCCATTTCTGAAGAAGCTTTCGAAGAGGAGCTAACTGCTGTTGCCAACCTAGCAAAGCAATGCCTGAATATGAATGGAAAACAACGGCCAACAATGAAAGAAGTTGCAGTGTTGCTTGATGGAATTAGGTCACCCCATGTGTCCAAGCCTAAAACACCAGAATGTTTGAAGAGTGACTGTATGTTCATGGAGTATAATTCCCCTTTTAGTAGAGGCACATTCTTTTCTGACAGCAGCCCTCGCACTTCCTTCTCTATTGAAGCCCTACCACTCATAAATGGTGATTGACTAATTGACAGTAGAGGTAACTGTTGAATGTGTTGATCATTTAATTGCCTTAGCTTTTTTGTAAATTTTTTGCTATTTGAACTTTGGCTTGTATATTCTGTTGGAATTCCATAACATGAGGAGGTTCCACTGTTCTTTTGCAATAAGCTGTCCGAGTTTGGGACGCAACTCTTTTTCATTTGTTTCACCTAAATAAAATGAATCATAACACAATGAGATTGTACTTTGTTTTGTTTCCTCAAAAAAAAAAAAAAAAAAAAAAGAAAAGAAATTATGTTTTGTTGTTTATCTAGACTTTTGAGTTACTAGTGAGCTTATTCAATTACTTTCTTTATTTGTATCAATGGAAAGATATATGTAATGAGAGGAACATAATCCGTCATATTCTTTTTGTACTTCTCAGAAACCATGCAGTATGCATTTTGGCATCATTCCTTTGTGAGAGTATGAAATCTTATTCTTAAAGGTCTGATAGGTGTTAGTAACAGAAATGAATTTGTATGTATATAGGTTGGGCATCTGTTATTGTATTAAGAGCATCATTATTGGTGAACACAAAAAAATGGTTCATGGGTCACTATCACCATTTCTCTCTCATCCACATCAACCCAACAAACCATTTACAATATTCACTCTTAACAATGAACACTAAACAATGGTTCATCATCAATACTCCCTACCCCACCTTATTTTATTTTTGTAAATATAATCTATTTAATTCATAATTATAATTTATTAACTCGATGTCAATGTAATTAATTGACGTATTTAATTTTTTAATCGTGATTACTAATTAAGAAATTATCGCGTTTTTTTATTAGCTTTTTTAAAAACTAATTCTTGTGATCAATATTTTTAAACAACAACGCAGCTAATTTTAATTAACATAATTAAAAAAAAAGAGGTACAAATCGTGATTACAGTACTACAACTATAATCAAGTACATTTAAAAAAAAAAAAAAAAGAACTACTACACATCGTTTTTTACCGGCGCCGGAACAAGGAACTTGGATAAACTGAGACTTCCGCGAAATAGTCATTGTATAACCGTGCATGACCTTCTTCGCGTCCCCTATCCTTTCGGGGCTCAGTAGATTTGTGTCGGCGTTGCTGAGTGGCAGCTTGAATAATTGGTGGAATGTACTCATGCATTACGTGTTGTATCATAAGACACACTTCATTACGTTGTTGAACTCTAAGCTCCCTTCCCTCATCATCCGAGTTAGATGAAGATGAAGAGGAATCGGTTGAGCTTAAGTTGAAACTGTTTGAATTCATTTTCTACGTAAGAAATGTAAGATAGAGTGAGGTTTTCTAATAATAACTGCAAACGATTTATGTGTTTGTGTGTAAAATAAATGAAAGAATGGTGTTTATTTATAGTGAACTAATTTGTAATTCTTCTTCAGAAATAACTGAATATAAAGAGACAAAGATCACATGGGCTATGACAAACACTGGATTAGAACCACACAGAAATTGAATGGAGAAGAAGGGTTTCACATGGGCTAACAAAGGGGAAATTAAGATACTGACACAATTATATATAAAGAGACAAATTAATATAATTGAATAAAGAGACAAAGATCACATGGGCTATGAAAATGGGATAGTGGAAAAGATCCATTTTACTGATTAATTGATAAAGTACAAATAATTGGAAATGCGTACAAGAGGTTGAACTGGAATTGAAAACTTATCACTACTGAAAATGAAGATTACAATGCCTAAGCATCATTAGTGAAACTTTTAATTTTGTTCTGAAGTATTACTATCATTTCGTCTTCCCATTGTTCTCGGTTTACTTTCTGTAAGATAGAGTGGGCCTCTTGGATAACATCATCTTCGTTATAGCCACTTCCCTTTCGCTTCCGGGCCTTATCATAGCTTCCGCACCACTTTAACACGGCTTCAGAGATTCGCATCCACCTTCCCTTCAAACTACTAATAGTTCGTAGGGATATTTCAACTGGATTCGATTCCCTGGCAGCATCGTATGCGTCCAAGACTCTGTTCCAAAATTGACCCTTCTTTTGATTGGAGTGGTTGTTGTAACATTTGAGTGAAGTTTTGATGGGGGGAAGGAGTTTCATTTCCCTCACCATAATCCTCTCATTCTTCATTTGCCTCATCTTCTTCAGATAAGACATTGCTCGATACCCAAATATTGGGATTCGGTTTTTGTGACGGAAAATATCCAGATGCAGCACCATATTCACCGTAACCCATTGGTATCATGGATGGATGTGGGAAATTTGAACTGCTTTGAGAAAAATTAAAATTTTGAGGGAAATTTGGTGGATTATATGGGCAACTTGACTGGGGTATTTGAGGATACACTCCAGAAAAATTATGGGGAATATTTGTGGGTGTTTGTGAAAAATTTGGGTGAATTGGAGGAAAATTGGCTTGATTCGGGATCATATTTTGACCCAATTTTTTTTTTTCTGCTTTCTATTTGTTTTGGGGTTGGTATTAGCATCCATAATTATAATTTATATTTGGAAAAAATAAAAATTTAATATTAATAATAATAATAACGATGATGATAATAATAATAATAATAATATTAAAAATAATAACGATAATAAAAAAAAAATAGTAACGATAATAATAATATTAATGATAATAATTAAAAATAATATTAACAATAATAATATTAATATTGGTATAAATAATAATAATATTGGTAATTATAGAGAGGATTTTTGAAGAGAAAAATATAGTAGAAAGAAATGGATTTTCAAAGTTGAAGAAAGTATATCAATATGGGTGTCTATTTATAGAGGGGAAAAAAATAGAGCCGTTGGTAATTTTTTTTTTTTTTTTTTTTGATTTGTATTTTATAAAATATATCCGTTGTATTATTACAACGGATTTATTTAAAACAATGAACACGTGTCAAGCAGCGTCTGGGCCAAGTGGCGCGCTCCCAGCCGCTACTTTCTATTTTTTTTTTCTGCCTGTTAATAAGCAAAACGACGTCGTTTTGCAACATGAAACAGCAAACCAACGTCGTTTTGTATGAATATCAGTGGAAAATTTTGGTGGGGCCCACAGCGAATTATTTCGTCCAGCTGCTCGCTCCTGCAATCGAACGCATGACCACTCATCATGAACAATTATAGAGTTTGCCATTAAGCCACCACCTTATTTGTTCACTCATTGTGAACTATTAAAATGTTCACCATTAACGCTGCTCTAATGCTAAAAGTAACTCTTGGAATTAGGAAGTTTTTAAATTGTATTATTTGTATAGTAAACTTGGAAGTAGGGGGAATGGGGGTGTATTATTAGACTGTCCTGAAATCTATCGGACTGGAACCGACCAACAAAAGAATTTTTTAAAACCTCTTTAATCTAGATGAAAGTCCGTGCAATGCACAGTTTTTCGTACATTTTTTTGACACGTGGTTTTTTTATATATATATCTCAAAAAAATTATGTTTTTTAGTTAAACCATATACTATAATAATTTAATCAAATTACTATTGTCTATCAAAAAAGATAATTTTTATTATTGTTATGTAAAAATGTGGCTTTATTGGTTGATGTTATCTGAAAAAGATTTTTTTTTTATTTTTTTATTTTTTATTTTAATGAAAGTAATTTATAATATGACCTTGTCGGTTGATGTTAGTTAAGTGACAATTGACGTTACTGAATCTTATAATACTAAAATAAAATATAATAAATTATTGATGTTCAATTTCTGAAATACGCTTTTTTGTCTGTAAATATTGTTGGCACTTGGGATTCTCATAAAAATATAATAGATTAAAGGCCTGTTCTCATATGTTGAAATTAAATTCAATTCAGTTCAGCTCAGTTCCTAATTTTCTTCTCTTATAAAATATTCATTTCAGTTCAGCTGAGTTCAGTCAATGAGAACAGGCCCTAACCCGTTTCAAAAAATGGTAATGGGTTTTTTTTGTTCGGCTGGCCGCGGAATTGTTGGCGGTGGAACACGAGGCTCTTTGACGGTGGTGGCTGTGATGGATTTTGGATAGGAAAGGTGAAGGTCGGGGGAATGATGTCATCTTCTTCCTCTTCCATGGCTTCACACTAATACCGACATGCCTTCAAAAAGTTCACACTGTTAAGGCAGTGGGTCCTTAATTTTTTTTAAACTCTTTCCTTTTTATTTTCGGATTTAATATTTTTTTTTATACAACTTACACAATTCTGTATGCATCTATTTACCAATATGTCATGGGATTTACCAATTTTATTTATCTAGAAGATAAATGGGGCCTCCTCTAAAACAGGTTGTCGAAAAAAGAATAATTAATTTGCAATCTTCAACTGCTGATGTTGAAAGTGTTGTTGTCTTGTTGATGATTTTGTCTTAAAACATGCTAATTATTTATAATATTCGTGATGAGTGTAATGTGATGAGTCCTGATGACTTATTATTACTTATAATATTAGTATTTTGTAATTGAAATACTACATGTTGCTTTTTATTTTGTATTTGGAGCGTAATGTGAGGACTTATTATTATTATTTTGTAATTGATAGGGCCCCATTTTAAGATATTGCTTATTCCATTTGTTTAGATAAAATTTATAATATTGTTTCCTTGGTTTTTCTGTAGAAGATAATGTAAGTCTAGGAAAAGTCAAAGTTGTAATGCTTAACAAGTTGTCAATACTCAATACTTGACATTACTTTCATAAGCTTGTGGCTAAGATTATAAGTTTATAACACATACTGAATTACCTTATAATTACAGCAATAACCAGGAAGGAGAGGGGAAAAAAAAAAAACAAAAGTAGGAACATACACATTACAAAATGCTGATGTCTCTTTTCCTGTTTCTCTTGCAGCTGCACTCACTGCAGTTAGCAGCAGCATCCATTGCCAAACCTAATTGCCCAGAAAAATGCGGTAATGTCTCAATTCCATATCCTTTTGGAATCGGTAATAAATGTTACTACAGTAAGTCTTATGAAATCATTTGTAGTCATACCCACAAACCATTCCTAAAGAAGTTCAATCTAGAAGTGATGAATATAACACTGGGGCAAGGCTTTGAAGGGTCAGGCCAAGGACTACTTGTAAGGACTGATGTCCATAATACAAATACATGCAGGTCTAATTCCAGCATTGATTTTGGTGGAAGTCCATTTTCTTTCTCTTATTATAATTCTCTTGTCATGAAAGGTTGTAGTGGCAGTGTTCTTTTACGAGATAGGAGTGGAGAAATCTTGGCTGGTTGTGCTGCCGTTTGTGGAATACATAATACTGTTGATTTATATGGGGTTGGAGTCTGTCAAGCCTCGTTATTATCCAGATACTTTGTCTTTGAGTTTTATGAGTTGGATCTTGATGTTGGAGCAGATTATACTTGCAGCGATGTGAGAATAGGATTAATGGACAGGGGTAGCTTCTCAGTAAACGAGCTCTCCAAAACTACAGTACCAACAGCACTAAATTGGGATGGCCCAGCTTCATATATACAGGACAATTCCGCAGTTGATCATCCCAATTTTAAGTGTGATAAGGAAGGAAATTGTTACTGCAAATTTCCCTATGAAGGAAGCCCCTATCTTCTAGAAGGATGTCAATGTAACTCACAAATCATTTTTTCCTTCCTATAAGTTGGACGCTATTTTTTCACTTAATAATATTTAGTTTAACTAATTAAGTCCCTTTTTCTTTTTCTAGTTTTGGAGAAATGTAGGAAGTGCAGGTATGGTTGTGATATTAGGGGAATTGACTTTCGGGAAAATCACTATTACTGCAAGAAAAATCCATGGTTCAAGTGGCAATCAATACTGGGTAAGAACTTCATTGAAATTTGTTCAGTTGTTTATGGCTTTTTTATTTCTAATCGTAATGGAAAGCCTTAATTGTAGCATCTTAATGAGATTGAAGTCTTAGCTGTCTAAGTTATGAATCCATTGCTGAAAGCACATACCTTATATCGTATTATTTTGCACATACCTTAAAGTCTTAGCTGTCTAAGCAATAGTTGGGACAATTGTCAAGAGCCAATTTTCCTTGTCTTGACTGTCTAAAACTAAATGATCTGCGATCTGGTATCATTTTCTATATTCTTCCTGCTAAATGATCTACAGCTAAATGGTCTTAATTAGCATGATATGACTAGCATTTTCTTAGTGTTGCTAACCTTAGCTTCTTTGCACTGACCATAATATTGAGTTCCAGATGTGCTCCAAACATCTGCATTCTAATAAATTTCCTCAGCCTACATCCTAGATGTACACTAAAAAAATTGGATTTCAGATTGTTAATCATAGAAACTATACCACCATGGATCTTATATTTGATAAGCAATTAATGATCATTTGTCATTTATCTTGGTCTCTTGGAATAGATACAAATCATACAATGTTGTTAAGTTTCGTATATACTAGGATAAATGCTTGCCTATGCTCAAGTTTTTGTAGCCGACATTATTTTCTATGAAGTATATGTATTTTAGAGGTGATCAAAATTTCAGGCTGGGCCTTAATGTTGTATATCGTGCCCGAACTTGCAAAAAGTAGCGGGCTTTTTCAGGCCGGGTTTGGGTTTTTAGACTTGCCCAAACCCGCCCTATTTTCGGAACGGATCGGGCCAGGCCAATGTTGATCACCTCTAATGTATTTGTGTGATTGATGGTGTTGCTCTAAGGTTATTATGAATCCAAAAAAAACTCACATAATTTTCTATATGTATTTGCGACGCTTATTTCAGGATTCAGTTTAGGCATGGGATTAATGGTGTTGCTCTTTGGTAGCTATGGGCTCTATAGAGTAGTAAAGAAAAGGAGAGAGATTCGAAATAAATTCAACTACTTCAGGAGAAACGGTGGCTTGCTGTTGCAACAATCATGTTCTAGTGAGGGTGCCCAGAGTACGAAAGTTTTTCTTGTCACAGAGTTGGAGAAGGCCACTGACAATTTCAACAAAAACAGAATCCTTGGTCAAGGAGGCCAAGGCACGGTTTATAAGGGTATGTTAAAGGATGGGAGAATCGTGGCCATTAAGATGTCTAGAAAAGTAGATGAGAATCAGTTAGAACAATTCATCAATGAAGTAGTAATTCTATCCGAAATTAATCATCGGAATGTGGTCAGATTACTGGGTTGTTGTTTAGAGACAGAAGTTCCTCTGCTCGTGTATGAGTTTATTCAAAATGGGACACTTTATGAGCATATTCATGATGCAAGTGGAGATTTTCATGTTACTTGGAAAATGCGTCTACAAATGGCAGCAGAATCAGCTGATGCTATAGCATACCTGCATTCATCTTCATCTGCCCCTATTTATCACAGAGACATTAAGTCCGCAAACATACTTTTGGATGCTAAATTTAGAGCCAAAGTTTCAGATTTCGGGGCCTCAAGAGCCATTGACATTGAACAGACACATGTGACTACATGTGTTATTGGGACGTATGGTTATTTGGATCCAGAGTACTTCCAGTCAAATGTGTTCACTGAGAAAAGTGATGTTTACAGTTTCGGGGTAGTCCTTGTTGAGCTTATAACTGGCAAAAAACCAATTTGCCCAACCAATGATGGGGGATGGATTAGTTTAGCTGTTGAATTTCTGTTCCACATGGAAAATTCTCGTCTCTTTGATATTTTGGATCCTCGGATTTTAGATGAGGGAAAGAAGGAAGAGTTTGCTGCTGTTGCTAACCTTGCAAGACAATGCTTAAAAATGAATGGAAAAGAAAGGCCTACTATGAAAGAAATCGCGATTGTGCTAGATAAGATCAGGTCATCCCATGTGCCTTATTCAACAGCACCAAACTCTATGGTTGGTAAGGAAGTGATGATGGAAATGAGTGATAATAAGCATGGTGCTTCTTCAAGTACAAGCTCATTCTATCCCGGTGTTGGCACAAGTGCTTCCTCCAATGTTGTCCAACGAGCTATGGCACATACATTATGATGTAAGTTTTTTGAAAATTATAGCTAAGGAAGGTTTCATGAAATTATAATCATAGCAAAATGGAATTTATATTTCTGAGCATGTATTTTGCTAGGATGACCTTAACTAGTAATCTTTCTTTTTTTTGGTAGCTGAACTAGTAATCTATTTTTCAAACTTGTGCACTGTAATACTGTTAAAAACTTTGTGGTGTCAACATGTAGCTGATTGTGAACGGAATGTATTGAGGAAGGTCGTTGTGATATGAAGATATCTACTGTATTTTTCTGTAATATAATTTCACAGGCTAGAGATCTGAAAATAATTTTGCAAATAATCTGGGAATTCACAAGCATCCCCCAACTGTAAATTTACCAAAATCTAAACAGATTTTTTTATACAAACTCACTAAATGCCAACTTTTTGTGGTGCATACTTCTACAATCTTTTACTTCTTCGCCCTATACATATAATCAAGAAGAATGTCTTTTGCTTCCAATTCAGTTATAATACTTCTGTTAAGGTTAATGTCCTCTCGGAAGCTAGTGCTAGAACATTATGCAGGAGAACTCACATGTCCTCATAAATTCTAATGGTAGCCTGGTAGGCACTATGCAAACCGGCAGACATGTTGCACAGTTTCTAAAAGATACACAAATCTTTAATTAATTCTCGTAAATTTGATTTTAAGAACAACTAAGAAAAAGGATGTGTATTGAGTTAAAGAAATGCAGCACACAGAAACAGAACTTCAATTACTAAAAGTAACCACCTTTAATACTACCATCGTAATTTAAATTAAATGTTCTTAAACAAAAGGCATTCTGAACTAATACTCCTTGGAAGCTCTGCTCAGTACTTTAAATTCCAACGCACAATAAGTTTGTTTTGTTTTGAAATAATCGAAACCCAAAGGTCGTTCTATTTTTGACAAGTTTTCCGACTCAATTTATATTGACAGCTCATCTTGTGTGCGGCCGGCCACACCGTGTGACCACTTAAAGTAACTCCTATAACATTGATTAAGTAACCCCTATAACATTGATTAAGTAACCCCTGTAATACCAATCAAGTAACCCCTATAACAGTGACCGAGTAATTCTATAATAATGATGAAGTAACCCTTTTAACACTGATCAAGTAACCCCCATTACACTAGCAAAGTAACCCCTATAGTGGCTGGCCACACGGTGTGGCCAGCCACATATAAGACTTTGTGTTATATTGATTATCAATATCTTGAAATAATCGAAATCTTTGGCATTTTGTGAAGTTAGGCAATAAAATATACTCCTTTTGTCATCTCTTAAAATTGCTCTATTATGATTTTTGTCTTTTGTAATCTCTACTCCAAACTACAAATATTGTTATCTCAAATTTGCCATTAAATTTTTATCCTCCTTACAAGATAGTAATTTTGAAGTTGCAATCTCTTTGGTGCATTGTACTCCCGCGCTCAAAATTATTAAGTTATAAATAGCACGATGATAAATAAAAATAATACAAACTGGGCAGTATATGGGTTTGTAAATAAAATAAGTTTTCTTCATATTACCAAAAACGTTAATTAAAATTTTAGGGGATTATATTACCTAATTTGACCTGTGAAAATAAAATAGAAACTACTGGACTTTATTTAGGAAAACGAAGAAAGCTTCAATCATTTCTTTAATTCAACTAATTGCATTGGTTTTTCTTAAATTATTGCCTTTTTTTTTTGAGGGAATAAATTATTGCCTTTGAGTTACGAGTTTCCTCCATGCTAAATAAGTGATTGCCTTCACGAGGACATAATAACTTGTAAGGGTGGCTATGCTATGTAGTAGAGGTGTCAAAAAGACCCGATCCAAAAAAAAAAAAAAACAATTAAATTTAGATTTCAATTTGTATAAACACAATAATTTAACATGACTCAAATTTAAAATCGACTCAACTTGATCCGACCTGACTACACCAATTTCGCCCCGCACATTTCAATTGACACCTCTAGTGTACTGTCCACGTTTAATTGTTTTTCTCTTGTAAGTTGCTAAATGGTCCTCGTTACCGGGCTGGACCGTAATCTAGTTATGAACGAATTGGATTGGGCTCTTGCTATTTTAGAATAAATTGGGCCTTTGTCCCACTTCGACTTTGTACTCCGTACTGGCGTACCAAGTATAATTGTAGACCATAAAACCTTCTTTGTCAAATTAAAACAAAAAAAAGTATAAAAACTCGTAATTCTAAAATGTCCCGAATTAAAAAAAAATAAAAAATAAAAAATAAAAAAATCACTGAACACTGAAACGAAGAAAGCTTCGATCACCATTTTTGCGGAACTAATGAAATGATGGCGCAGCTATATAAACTCAGGTCAGTCGTCTTTCGGCTATATTCAAATGTCGATAATGCTTGTTAATTAATTGTCGATAAAAGACAATTGTAATTCATAGGAGTTTGAATTGTGAGATGAGAGAAAGATGATGTGACAGCTGTTATGGGTAAAAATATGCAAGGTCAAGTCAACGACAGTCAGCATAAGTCAGCGACGAAGACATTTATTGACGAAGCTTTAAGATCGACGACGCCTGCATTATCAGTGGAAGACCAAGTCAAGTAACGACCTCCTATTCTTTGGGAAAAGATAAGCTTAAGACTCAGTCCTACTTCAGCTCTCCCAGTCCATTGGAGTTCAAAACAGAAGAGAGGGAATCTCCGCAATTATCCTCCTAAAATCGAGGGCATGATCTTATCTCCTTGCAACGGCTAGGGCATGACCTAGCAAATCGTCTATATAAGGGTCGTAGCAGCAACGAGCATGGCATCAGTTCTGAGCATTCATCATATATCACAAACTTGTAGTTCAACATTATTTTTTGCATAGTGAAAGTTTGGTAGATCCTCATTCTACCCGCGGTTTTTACCTTCTTTGGGTTTTCCGCGTCACCAATTCCTTGTGTCATTTACTTATTTTTTCTTCTTCGCCTTACATTAAATTTTGCTTAGTTGATCCGTAGCCTAGATTTTGATATTCAATCCCACTTAACAAAAAATAGCATAAACAATTTGGCGCCCACCGTGGGGCTACAACTAGGTAAAATCAAAAAATTTCTCACCAAGCCTTCAACATGTCAGCCGACGAAATGACCCCAGAACAGTTAAAAGCTGCCTATGAGAAAGTTCAAGCCGATCTCGAGGCTGCTAGGGAATCTAACGAGCATCTCAGCAAGGAAAAAGAAGCGTCAGACTCCGATGCACCCGCTCTCCGCCAACAATTGGAATCCACCCAAAGCAGTCGTCGTCGCCGGCCGAGGCAGCTAGACCTGATCCCCAGAATGCCGTCGCTCGATATCATTGAGTCCCCCCATGATACTGACACTGAATCTAGTGGCGAGGAAATGGACGTGGACCCCCCTATCAGGAATGCTGGGCAAGGAAACATCCGGACTCCAGGCGACGACCAAGGTAACCCGCCGCCCGATCGTACTGAAATCCTACTCCAAAGGTTGGTTGCCTTAGAAAAGCAGAATTCTAGGGTCTTGTCAATGATGAAAAAGATGCCCGGCGTGCCGATCCCTGTCCAGCGAGAAGTCCCAGATGGATTTGCAGCTACCCCTTTCTGCGACGAATTGGCCCTAGCCCGGATTCCTAGAAGATTGTCGCTCCCGACGTTTACGTCGCTATATGACGGAACGACCTGTCCAGAGCAGCATGTCGAGTACTACAAGCAGCGAATGTGGCAAGCTTCTATCCCGTTCGAGTGCTGGGAGGCGTGCATGTGCAAGTCATTTGGTGCGACGCTGACAGGCCCCGCCCTCAAGTGGCTCGGCAAGCTTGAACCAGGTAGTATAACTAGTTTTGCTATGTTAGTTAACAAATTCTATTCCCATTTTGAAAGTAGCAGGCAGTTCGACAAGCAGACCAGCGATCTGTATCGGATCGTCCAGGGTCCTAAGGAGACCATCAGAGCCTATTGGTCCCGGTTCAACAAAGAGAAAGTCTCGATCAATAATGTCGACAATAGGACTGCCATTGAAGCCTTCCTCCGTGGACTGCATACAGACTCGGATCTGTATAAAGATATGGTCAAATATCCATGCTCGACGTTCGAAGAAGTCCGGACCCGAGCCGTGGCTCAAATGCGCTTCGACGAAGATATCGCCAATCGCAGTTCCTATCCAAGTTCCAAGTTCATCCGATCGAAAGGCCTCCAGCAACCCCCGAGGGTCATGGCGACATCAGCCTTACGAGGCAACAGGTAAATCACGTTCTGTTAATGCTGTGCAGGTAGAGGATATTCTCGACGCCCCCTAGTATCCCGAGATATCGGAGTATGGCTTCGATGTGAATATCGTAGCGGTAGTGAAAGAATTGGAGCCCTTGGGAAACAAAGTGCGTTGGCCGTCAAAGAGTAACAAGCCAGAATCAGAGAAGGATATGAGCAAATGGTGCGAGTTCCATAGTGATCATGGCCATAAGACGGAAGACTGGTATGCCTTGCGTAGAGGTGTCCACCATGCGAGTCGTGCGAGCTGGGTTAGGGTTAGGTGGGTCGCGGGTTGGGGTTTCATGACACACGGCACGACACACGTAGGGTAGGGTGGGCCGGGTCGTGGGTTGGGTCGGAGAAGTTGGACACACCAGGGTTAGGTTCGTGGGTTAGACGAGTCGTGGGTGGGTCGAGCTGGGTTTGTGGGTTAGACGGATCGTGGGTGGGTCGAGCTGGGTTTGTGGGTTAGACGGGTCATGGGTGGGTCGAGCTAGGTTCGTGGGTTAGACGGGTCAAGGTGGGTTAGTGAGTTAGGGTGGGTCGAAGGGTGGGTTAGTGGGTTAGGGTCGGGTGGGTTTGTGGGTTAGGTGGGTTAGGGTCGGGTGGGTTAGTGGGTTAGGGTCGGGTGGGTTTGTGGGTTAGGTGGGTTAGGGTCGGGTGGGTTTGTGGGTTAGGGTCGGGTGGGTTCGTGGGTTAGGGTCGGGTGGGTTGTGTGGTGTTTTAATTTTTACAAAATTAACAATTTGATGGCTTGCTCTTAATTAAGATGCCTACGTATCCTTATATTATAAAATAAGGAATCAAAGCCAGCGTAGTTCTTATATTGTACTTCTTTTGAAATTTGGGGGGGGGCTTGGACCTATCTTTAGAAAACTAAAATTTAATTTTGCAATTAAATTGTAATTTTCGAAAAATAAGTTGCCTACGTATCCCGAAAGAATCAAAGCCCACGTAGTTCTTAGCGTACCTGATTTAGACTTTTCTAGCCACCCATGTTTGTTGCATCATCATCCCCGGAAGCTGCATCATCCGTTGACGACT